AAGATTGAACCGTTTTGACTGTAACGATACTCTTACATACCCATGATATGACGCCGTCTTTGAACGTATTAAAACGATTTGACTCAAAATTACTATAATCACTCCAAAGCTTATCCTTGAATTCCATATACATAAACACACGAAACCCTGGTGGTCCTGGGGGGAAATCGCATGAAATTATCATCGTTAGAACTTTAAAACATTTTGGCTCTTGAATGTATTTTAATTTTTAATACTAAACACTATCCATTATGAGAAATCAAATTTACAATCAACATTGTGGAAACCTTGAGTATAATTATGATGCATTTTTGATGCTGTTTGTGTGGACCAGTTAAAATTTGTATATATGGAGCCTGGGGTGACGTCACAGTCAGTAACACATCGGAAGTATAAACCTTCATGACTTAAACACGCGCAACATTCGAATGGATAAATATTTCACCATTCAACTATAAACTTTATGTAGAATCATTGCTGAAAGTATTGCATGAGGGGTTAGGTGCACTTTAAACCAAGAAAAATTATTCTCAGGAGAATGACACTCGGTCTGAAATTGCAAAACATTACGCCCAAGGTAAAGAGGTCTATATGCAAAGAATCTCACTTTAAAACTGCATAGTAAAGTGAGACCTTTTATTTTGTTTAGACAGCAAATGGAAAGAGCGCGTGCGCGCTAGTTGACGGCGCACGGGAGTAGGGTAAGGCGAATTGAAACTGCATCCGGTTTCTAAAAATAGCCCGACCGGGAACTTACGTCCGTGTTCTATTTTTTGTAATACCTGTGATGCGGGCGAATTTGTAAATAAATATCCTGAAAAGAGTTCTCTTACCTTGGAAAAAACGGAAGATTTCATCGGCCTCTTGAGATGTTAAACCCTTGCACCATATACCTATTTCATCAAACCAGGCTACTGGAGCAACACTTTGCTCACCAAGATAAATACTCGTATCAGCAGCTCCTGTTACGGCACACCCAAAACATATGTCGTATTCTATGTCAACTGGTTTGCCATTTCGAAATACAACGAGCGAATCTGCCGGAGACGTCCAAGAGATCACCAAGTGAGACCAGACGTTTGAAGGACAACGAAAGCGATAGCTAAGCCTTTTGTTATTAGCGTTTACCATAATAGACAATTCCTCTGAGGTGCTGTTGGGGTGTGAGATCTGTAAACGGGAATCGCCCTTATCTGAGTGACCTGGATAGAAAAGAAACCAAAGTTACTTAAAAAAAACGAACATTTCTGTATTTTGACTGATGAATGTATATAAGGCACAAAGGTTGGTGTTTCGGGAGAACACTTGTCTCTCACGTTTGGGGTTTTGAGTTCGATTCCTAGACTCGGCATCACATGTGAGTAGTGTTTGCTAGGTCTCTCCCTTGATTCGAGGGGGTTATCTCTGGGTTCTCCATCTTTCCTTCCCCCGCAAAATCTAAGATCAAATTTCAAAGTTCAAATTCTATCTGTGAGTTAGCCGTGCTTTGACTTTGATCAGTCCAGCAGCTATTTCAGGGTGTCGATAAAATTTGAACAAGTTTTTTTAATTACACATTTTGCGCACCGCAATAACAATTTTCTTTTTCATAATGGGTGAACAAATTCATGGTTCCGCTCCCCGTAGCTGCCGTTGCTATGTCCCACAAGCTCAACAAATTAGCTAGAATATAAATAAAATTCATAATAATAGAATTCATTCGCTAATTGTAAGAAAAGAGCGGGAAACATTGATTTTCGAAAATGGTACACGCGTCTACCAGAAGAACCGAAAAGAGCGGGAAAAGTGGATCGCCTTAATCAGAAGACCAAATTTTCTGGAAATTTCCGATAGGAATGATGCATACCATTTGTTATACAGCCGGAATTTTTCAGTGTACCATTAAGCGGAAGTCGAAATTCCCGCGTTCTTCTGCTGGTAGACACGTGTACCGTTTTACCGGAAATAAAAATTTCCCAGTCTTTTTTTAGTTGGTAGGCGCGTGTAGCATTTACCGGAAGTATATACCAGTACCGGAAGTATTAATTATTAGCCAGTGATTATATACTTACCGATTGTAAACAAAGTCTGTCTGTCTGCTCCCGCCTTCGTTGCATACTTTATCCACAGACTAACAGATAGACCAGCAGACGAGTTGTCGAAAATGCAGGTATTTGCGTAGTCACCGAGTGTCACGCTTGCAGTTCCATCCAGTTTGATAGCTTTTCTACTAATGCCGTTAGGAACTGCAACAGAGCCAGAACTGACTGGAACACTTCTTTGTGTTTTCACATCAAGGATTTTAGGGTGTTCATCAAAATTCCAATATGTGTCGGGGCTGCGATCATAAGAATCGAAGATGCCCAAGAATGCTTGGGGTTGACCTGAGTCAAGAAAAAAGGATAAATTAGTAGATAAGTAGGTCGTGAAAAGAGTTTTATCGGAGTCTGCTATTGTTTAACAGCTGTTTATTTTTTTGTACTCTGGTAATTTACAGTGAGAGTAGAAATTAAAGTAGAAATAATTGCATGATGAAAGAGCACAGCTGCTTAAAAATAGCATAAACCAATCGAGCTTATTATGCAACAGCTTATTTGTCAGTTGTGGTGTACTCAGAATGGCTTCAAAGACTCAAAGACTGCTTGTTACCTATCAGTGGCATAAAAATATTAGCCATTTGGAGGTCGAGAAAAAACTGGGTCGAGTGGCATTGCAGTGCATTGTGGGAATTTTTTGGGAACATATTTCCAAGATGGCGGGTATTTCGTTCACTAAAACACCCCCAAAATGCACTGCAATGCCACTCGACCCAGCTTTGTTCTGAAACTCGAATGGCTTATCAAGTGCAGATAAATGAAGTGTCTTTTTAGCTTTGGACTTACCTTTCAAACACGAGTGTATTAGACGGTCGGAATAATCGCATTCGCACTTTGCATTTGTTTCCTTACACTTCCAGTCCGGCAACGCGCACCATTTATCGCATGGAAAATCTGTGGATTAAACTAAAATGGTTAATAAAAACTCTGAGATAGCATTGTTTTTACCTGGTAATTTGTCAAGGTCAAAAACCCATTCAAATCTCATTTTTTTAAAGAATTCATATCTGTAGAGGTGACAGGCAATTTTTCCATGATAATAAAAAGCCATTTAAAAAAAGAAGCCTAGCCGTAATGTTGGTTGACATAATGAAAGAAAACAACACCCATTCTCGTGTGTAAAGATATCCAACATGGCGGCTATGACGTCACATGCTTGCACATACTGATCTTGAACAAAGGAAACCCCAAATGCTTTACATTCAAGGAAATGACTAGAGGCTAATGGAACCGTAAGGTTTTCAAAGTTAGACCCTTGGCAATTTAAGTTATAATTTTATTCAGTAGCTTCAGACAGTAACACAAAAAAATATAGCAGCAGAAAAGCGAAGGTGACAGATATGCCACAGCAAAGCGACAAGACATAACACGAACAAGAAATAAAGAGGAAGACGAATATTGAAAGTGAATTAATCTTGTGTTTTTTTCCACCGAACGAATTTTGTTTGGTTAAAAAATATTGTTACCCTTATTTTGAAACAGTATATAGACATTTGTTTGAATTCAGGGGGTAGATTATATGACAGTATTCTTGCAATTAGGTGTACCTCCTGGGTAGAAGACTTCTAACTCGTCTGGGGTAAATGACGAAGTTCCGGTGAGATAACTTGCATCACTGACGTTTTGTCCATAGTCTTGCCCAAGATTTGTTTTCACCGTGAAGCTGCTCGTTACTTCTAATCCTTGACCAAAATGCGGTCCATTGGCACTATTGATTAGTATAGCTCGAGAGCGAGAAGAAGGTTTGATGGGAAAGACCTTCGGAGTGGACGATGGGTTTGTCAACGAAAATATAAAAGCCTTGGAGCTAGCAATCTCATATCCTGTGCTGGGATCTAGGAATCATTATGAAGTAAAGAACGTTAAACGACATCAGCGACAAAATCAACAATAACAAAAACAAAATGACAAAAACAAAAACAACAATTAAATAGAAAGAAAAAAAAGAAAAGGGAAAGGGAACGGAAAAATACAAAATGAGTGGAAAGTAAAAACGAAAAGGAAAGTCACGAAGAGACGAAGAAGGAGAAGGAGAAGGAGAAGGAGAAGGAGAAGGAGAACGAGAAGGAGGATTGGTTCAAAAACTGATGACACCTTTGCCTACTACGTTTATAGCTTTTATAATCAGTTTCAAACCTTTGTCTGGAGAACCTGCCCAATCTCTATCACTGTACGCGCCAAAAATGTATTGATCCTTCTTGCCAACTACAACGGTTGGTCCCCTTTCTTTGCAGTTTTGCCAAAACCCTTCCAAGGTATCTTGTCTGGATTTTATGAAGCACGGTTTCCAAAAGGTGTTTGGTGCACCTGCATACTTCAGCATGTTCATCAGATATCCGCCTTGCTTTAACACACCAATGACTTTAGATTCAGCGAATCCTGAAGAGAGCGGGAAAGAGAAATGGATGGTTGAATGAGTCGAATAGTGAATTGATCAATGGAGAAACGAAAAAGAAGAATGAAAATGGAAAATAGGTGGTGTAAACATAACATACATAGGTGGATGGATGGATGGAGGAATGGAGGGATGGATGGATGGATGGATGGATGGATGGATGGATGGATGGATGGATGGATGGATGGATGGATGGATGGATGGATGGATGGATGGATGGATGGATCCTATAGATGGATGGATGGAGGAATGGAGGGATGGATGGATGGATGGATGGAGGAATGGAGGGACGGACGGACGGATGGATACCTACCAGTGCTATAGGTGGGGCTTGATACCGGAGGGGTGGATTCACATCTTTCAACTCTAAAGTGAAATGAATCCACAGCGATATCACCTTGGAAACCATCTCCAACAACACCTTCTATAATTATCTAAAATCATATAATTAAATACATTCAGTAGTTATATAAAATAAATGTCATAAATCTTGCTTTCTGATTGGTAAGTGGCACGTGCTTTATGAGAGCACACAGCACGAGCAGCACTTTACTTTCTTTCTATGCTGTCATTCGTATACAAAATATTTAACCAAATTTCTCTTGCTTCTAATACTTCGTTCGTGTGTTCTTTTCATTGTCACGTGTCTTAGAACTGCACTAATTGCACTGCGTTTTTATTTTTTCATTATAATGAAGAAGAAGGAGGAGAAGAGGAGAAGAGGAGAAGGAGGAGAACTTGGGTCGGCAGCACGTTTGCTTTGGCACGTTTACTTCGCGATACAGGTATTAGGGAAATAAAGATATGGGTAGTGCACTTCCACGTCACTTCTGGGGTCTCGCGTTTGATTTCTGGGCTGATGTGGACTTTGATCAGGCCAGACTTTGTTTTTGAGTTCGATAAAATTGAAGTTCTTGGCACACGGAGTATGAGCCGACGTAATTCGGTTGCGAGAGTATCAGAGCTGGAAGGGCAAGCACTCACGAAAATCAAATCCCCAGGTAGCCCAGCAAAATAGGAAAACACGATTTTTTTACGTCAAACTTTGGGTGGGATAGGGGCGGTCTCCCTCGCCTCTCACCTCGCTACTCCCCTGCGCCGTATTCATGTATAATTCTCTTATATAATAAGAAAATCCCTACCTTAAAAGCCCTTGGTTGTGACAGTGAAATATTAGCTTGATGCCATCGATTTCCCTGGTCACCACCAAGTCTCCAGACAAGTTTCGTTTCTCCATAAAAATCTCTTGCGTAGACATTCAACCTGCCAACATTCTGTCCCCACATGTGATACGCAAAGCTAAAGCACTTATAAGCGCTAACACGGTGGTAACTCTCAACAATGGCATTGCTGCCTTCAAAGGCATCGCTAGCTTCCAAATAGAGAAAAGCTGTCGGGGAAAAAGCAGCAAGTTCAGGGACCTTATTATTTATTAATGAATCAATTAATCAGGAACTTATTAATTATCAGGGATTTATTATTAATTAATCAATTAGCTCAGGGATCTTATTATTTATTCATTAATAAATTAATCATCAAAGATTTCAAGGGTGCCAGTTAACGATAGTACACTCGCCTCTAGCTTAATCTGTAAGTGGTCTCGGGTTTATAATCATATATGTTCAGTGGCGGATCTAGGGATGGGTTTCGGGGGTTGCAACCCCCCCCCTATGAGAACCATCGTGATTATTATTATTATTATTATTATTATCATCATTATTATTATTATCATCATCATCATCATCATCATTATTATCATTATTATTTTTATTATTATTATTATTGTTTTCATGACAACACCAACAGCATCGCGAGTTTTATTAAAACAGGGGTGCCGAACACATTTCGCTCGCTTTTTTTCTATGTGCCGTGTGGGACCTGAAACAACCATGCTCGCCTCCAGCAAATAATCATTATCATAAGTTTCTCAAGGTTTACTCAAGGTTTATTCCCTTCTCAAAATTCATTAATAATGATGATAATAATAATAATAATAATAATGATAAACTTTATTACCGCGTCAAAATATTTAGCTATAAAGCTAATTGAAGACACGAAATAAATTAATAATTAAATATAACTAAAATATAGCTAAAAAAAAAGAACAATCAAAATAAAAAAGATAAATAACTAAATGAATACTGATAATGATAATAAAGTTCTATATAGATATTCATTCTGCTAAATCACTGAAGCTCAGTTCGATCAGGGTGTTAGCCATGCCCTGACTTTGTTTAGCCAAGAGGTTGTTTCAGGGTTCGATCTGTTAGTTTGCCGTGCCCTGACTTAGATCAGCTTAGAGGTTATTTTAGTGTTCAATCTTTTAGTTAGCCGTGCTAGAGGGTCCTGAAGGGGTAAAATGGAAGCTGGGATTCGCCTTTTCAGTTGGGCTGGGAAAATGTGATTTTATGCACTGGAAATGTACCCTGGGCTCCAGAGGTTCTATTCGCTTTTCCCGGAACATTGAACGATGCCGGAGCGAGAATACAATAACCTCTGGGCCCCAGGGTACTGGAAATGGGATTCACAAAAAAAAAAAAAAAAAAAAAAAGAATCAAAAAAAGGGAATGGGATTGAGATTTAAGCAAAACATAGGCTGGGACTATGGGATCTGGTCAAAAGAGGGTTGGAAAAAGTGATTAGGACCTACATTCAGGACCTTAAAACGTAAAACGTCATGCCGTAATTTTTAGGTTCGGCGTTTGGGGGCTCAAACAAAATAGCGGATTTTTGAATTCGCCATACCCCCCCCCCTTTTTTCTCGGAAAATCCTGTCTACGCCCCTGTCTACGCTCCTGACCAGTCTATTTAGTGTATTAAAAAATTTGAATCAGAAGCATTGATTTACCTCCGCCTTGTGAGCCTATACACGGGCCTGTCCCGTTTGGCTGACTTCCTGTACAACTTTTTAGAAGATTCCAGCCTTTGTTTAAATAAGGAACCGAAGCAGACCCTACATGAGGAGTATCCATTTTGAAAACAACAGGACCATCTGTGAAAAAAGTCAAAATATTTAACAAATAGACATCAGTTTTTTATGTGATGTCTGTCCTCTTGTTGACGATAAATTGCGTCATCACGTTGTCAAAGTAGTGTGGATCCACGAGGCAAAGCCGGAGAACCCGGAGAAAAACCATCCAAAGAGTAACGAAGCCTAGATCTGACTTAATAAAGAAAACTTAGATATTATAACGACCATAGGAATAAAAGATTATGATTGGCCGAGGTCAAGTGCGATGCTAAGTCTGCTCTTTCTTTGCCATAGATGAGATGCAATGTATACTCTCTCCTGATTGGTTGAATGCAGTTTTCAATCTACATAGTGATTGGTTAACTTTGTTAAAGTGGGCCCAGTTAGTGAATGTTTACGCTGTAAAATACTTACCGGCAATCTTGTCTAGATCAGCTTTCAAAGCATTTTTATCGCTGGTGGTTGCCCTCCAGACTGTGACGTCAGACAGTTGAATATTTTCAGGGTTGCTTGAATTGAACGTAGAATGGTCAATAGTCACAACTTGGAATTTGCTTGTAGGAAAATCACCTAAGAGAAAAAAGTAGTCCTCAATTAAGACTCTTATCACTGTTTTCAGACCCTCAGTCATCGGTTGGATTTTTGTTTGATTTTCATTCACATTCTTCGTCATCGCGGCCATGTTGGCGATATTTAAAAAAAATATTTCCAGTTGCTTCCATAGTTTATACCCCCATCCTGGCCGCTATGTCTTTGTCATTGCAAATCAATAATTATTGAATCTTTTTAAAGATGATTCGCAAGCAAATGAAATAATACTAAAGAGAATGGCGCGCGGTTTGAAATATTTAGAGCTATCGGAATTTCATGAAGAGTACTGATGCAAAAGAAGCTAATGACTTCCGCAGTCTATAAACTTAAAAAAAAAAAGTGTTTGCATTTCGTAAAAATTTTCATTTATAAAGAAAGTTGGCAAGCAGTTTTTCAAATGACGAGCGTGCGCAAACGTTTCCTGTGCAAGTGATTCCCATTGTTGGACTGCATGTGAGCTACGCCATATTATATTTTCGGAAAACTATCGGTTAAAGTAAAGAATGCACAAGTATAATAATATAAACACTTCGAAATTCTACAAAATCTCACTGGAACACAGAGGAGATTCCAGGGCTATCCCAAGCGCCTTTGCAAGCTTATTGTTTTCTTTGGTTTCAACCGCTTTATGTGCATCTCCTTTTAATGATACTTGTGCTACTAATAACAGTACTAAGGTATAGGTGGGCGCCAATGACGCCATTTGTTTTGATCAAGAACATGAAATTCTTGGAAATTCAAGCAATAAACAAACAAACGTCAAAAGTGGCAAGATCCTATCGCTTTGGAAGATATCTGAGAATTTGAGGACAAATCTCTTGATGGTTTTCAAGTTAACCTTGTGAAATTTGACAGTAAATGTATGTTGGTGTTGGCAAGTTGTTGCCAACCAACCTACATTTACTGCAAAATTTAGCAACTTTACTTTAATTAATTATATCTCCTGAACTAATGAAGCAACTGCTCTCAAATTGATAAATATTATCAACAGTTATGACTTCTTGATATTTCTTAAGTCCAATCGTTTATGGCTCAAAAGTTGATTTTTGGAAATGTAACCAGTACGCCCACCTATTGCTGTAGCATTTGATGAAGACATTATTCACTAATGTGGCAAGTAGCCAGTTGTAGGATATGTACTGAACCTTAAGTACTCCAAAGTACTGCAGTATTTTGACTAGTATCTCTACATTTCTTGAAGGATTTCTGAAATAGATATCGCTAAAAGGTGACATGCACTCTAATTAAGTACAAATGATTTTTTTTTTATAACTCCAATTTAAGCTGTTTTAATGGAAAATATATCTCCACTCGCAATGCATGATGGGATAACCCTGGATCATTTTCTGACTGGAACATAATATTCTACACAAAAACGAGGCTAATCATGAACAACAAAGAATAAGCCTGAAGCGAGATGACGTTTTACCCCCGTCTCTAGACCATAATCATTTTCACACTGCTTTTGTTCTTTAATTATGACTATTGTACCTGTATTCTCTAAGGAATCAAAAATTTTAATATGAAAGAATTTTAAAAACTATTATGGTATAGAGTCGGGGGTAAAACGTCATCTCGCTTCAGGCTTATTAGAAACTGACTGGTGCATTTATGCGAAAATATTCTTACTGTTTGTTTTCACTGAAGGTACTCTGGCTTCTTGATCATTCTCAAACAAAATCCCATCGTTGGTATCTATAACAGTCCAATAAGTAACTCGGGTCCACTTTGCAAAGGAAACTGGATTTGAACTTTTTTTAATAGAGGTTTTGGTCTTAGTAACGGCTTTGCCTTCGAGGGTTGAATTGTAAACTGACACTCCAAATCCAGCTTGGCCGAAGGAAAAATTACCAGTGGACACTAAAGTTGTAGGAAGCTGATAATCTAAAGGAGATAAATAACAACGTGAGAGATAACTGAAACCGCGCCCGCCTCGCACCAGTAGGACCTGGGTTTGAGTCTTGCCGGGCTCGGTGTCATACGTCAGTAGAGTTGCTTGTTGGTTCTCTCCTGTGCTTCAAGGGTTTTCTGGGTTCTCTGGCTTTCCTTCCTCCGCAAAAATCAACTTCTGAATTCCAATTGGAATTTCAGTGGACGAATAGAAACTCTGTAAAAATTTCACTGCTAAATCCCATTTATTTTAGCAAAGATGTAAAAGAAGATCCCAGCTATTGAGCTATCAGTTGTACACGTAGCAAAGATGTAAAAGAGATCTTAGCTATTGAGCTATCAGTTGTACACGTAGCAAAGATGTAAAAGAGNTACACGTAGCAAAGATGTAAAAGAGATCTTAGCTATTGAGCTATCAGTTGTACACGTAGCAAAGATGTAAAAGAGATCTTAGCTATTGAGCTATCTGTTGTACACGTAGCAAAGACGTAAAAGAGATCTTAGCTATTGAGCTATCAGTTGTACACGTAGCAAAGATGTAAAAGAGACCTTAGCTATTGAGCTATCAGTTGTACACGCAGCAAAGACGTAAAAGAGATCTTAGCTATTGAGCTATCTGTTGTACACGTAGCAAAGACGTAAAAGAGATCTTAGCTATTGAGCTATCTGTTGTACACGTAGCAAAGATGTAAAAGAGATCTTAGCTATTGAGCTATCTGTTGTACACGTAGCAGGAGACGCAAAAAAGATCCCAGCTATTGAGATATCTGTTGTACACGTAGATAAGTGCTTAGAAAAATGAATAAAACTAAATCAGTTTTTTACTCCAAGATCCAAGTCTTATCAAAGTGAGAATTTGGCATCTCTAAAGGAACATACAATATGGGATTGTATTGCCACAAAAGCAATGGCCGCACGGTTTAACTCCACACATTTCTTTATAGGAACCGGGCAATGAACGGGGTCAAAATTTCAAATTTCACTAATATTTCAACATTTCTGGACAACATAATATCCAAATGATTGAAACATCTGGAGGAAGTAAAGCACAACCAAACAAGCCCAAACTCAAAAGAATGTCGCGCCATGTTGTTTTAGCCCCCGAAGCGCCGAACCAAAATGATTAGACTAAATATATATAAAAAATAAAAAAAGACCGAGATTATGTATTACGTTTTATTTTTACGTAAGTAAAAAACAAAGGATTGATAATTACCATATAAATCCCCCA